TTTTGTTTGGRAAGAAAACTATATAAGAACAAAACAAAAAATAAGCAAGGAAACCAAAAAAAATTAGCAAGGAAAGGACGACAAATAAAATGATTAAAAAAAATCAGAAAAAAAGTAAAAGAGCAAGACATACTGAGATAAAACTGACTCAATTCAAAGAAACAAACTGAGGGAAGGAAACACAAAAGTCATTGAATGATGATTTAACGTTTTACTTTAGTAACAAGACGCTTGTCAGCGTGCACTCGGGGTTCTATTTAGTGTAGTCTCTTGGTTTAATGATACATATAGAATATGTAGTTTCATTTATTCTTGCCGTGACCAAAAAATATAATAAATTCTCAGTCCAGTTGATAGCATAATAATTAAGACTTATATAATTTTGACTTGATAAATTTACCGCAATTATTGCAAAGAATAATAAATACTTTAATTATCAAATATTAATACTTCCACAGGAACCCCGAGTAATAACTATTACTACATGTATATCTTACAACATTACCTTTGATAATCATAAAGCCTTACATTTTAGTAAATCCACTGTTTTTCTTAAGCTTAAGTTGCATATGAATAAATACAGTCGAGACAATTCCGTCTTAGTATTTGCTTGCTAGAATAATGTAGCTATAAATGTTAAACACTAGTTCCTAGGTATATCTATAAACCATATATATCACTTATTCATTGACTTCTAATAAGTCGAGATAAAATACACTACACTACCATTTTACATATCTCACAAATTACATAGTGTCTGTCATTTTAACATTCTACTTGTCTGTTTTGGTGTTTTTCTGAAGTTTGAATTGCATATGAAGATAAATATAGTCACAGTCTTATGGTATTGCTTGCTTGAATAATATAACTACATTAGTTCAAATTTATAACCATAAATATCACTTGTACATAATGGAACTATTGACTTATAATTAATCGAGATAAAACGCACGACACGGTCCAAAAGCTTGATTCATTGCTCAGTGATCTCTGATTTTCCTTCAGTCTCACAACGCATTTGTTTAGTTTTTAACTCGGAGATTGCGTAGCAATCGTAGAGTTATTGGGAGGGCACAGGCCTCACTCGCTCGCTCGATCACTTTCCTGTAAACTTGAGCCTGCTATGTTTTTGTCAGCAGTTATTCATTTAATCATATTAATGTATTCTGCTTAATTATTATTTATCATATCTAATTTACTGGTTTCCCTGTGCTATATCTGATTGAAATGATTTATTTTTTGGCAAATAAAGAAATCAAAGAAATGGGTCTTCTGGGATCTGAACCCGGGCCCGCTGGATTGGAAATCAAAGGCTCTACCGATTAGGCCACTACCGATTGGTCGCTCGCCCATGCTTGTCTAGAATTCGAAGTTAAAGCTATAAGATTTTAACGAAAAAATCTGCATTCAAATATCGTTTACTTAAAATTCTATTTGTAAAGTAAATCTAATGTGATTCGTTGTATTGTTCAGTCACAAAGGAAGCATGAGGAAGACTCGCCGATCCGACATTAAATTCTTCTCGAAAATCATTTTACGTGTGTTTTATTTATCCACGTTCGTCTACAATTCAAAAAATATATTCGCTCGCTACCGTACTATTACATTTTAATATTTGATATATAGTTCATTGTGTGGTTAGACATCGATAATACTATTTTGAGCCGCTACGGAAACTGGCAAACAATAAAAGCAACGGTGCCGTATAGTTGATCGGGGATTCAATTGAATCATCTTGTTGTTTAATTCACCGTTACGGAGTAAGCATTCTTAAAAGAATTGCTGGAAAAAATAATAAATAATAATAAAAAATAATAATAAAGAAC